TGTGAGGACCGGGACCGTACTCACAAACCACTCCGTGTGACTTAGTGATTTTTGTCAGTGGGTCAACTAGAAGTGCCAATAATTGGGATAGGGTGCATGAGAAAGAGGAGATTGTTGACTGATTGGAAAGTTTTTTTATAAAATGGTAAAGGAGAGCAGGTGGCAATGAAGAGATTTAAGAGAATATGACCAAAGACGACAACAATAGACATTCTGAAGTGGACTAGGAAAGCCCAGGAGACCCCAACACTACACAGAGAGCTACAGGCAACTAAAGAATGTTGAGAATGGGAAAAGCACACCAACTGATTATCCAGTACCAAATAGCACTGAAAACATACATACATATATATATACATATGTATATATATGTAACATTATACAGACTAAGCAGGTTATATTTTCATATTTAGGAATATATGTATATACACATATGTATATAACATCAACTAATAAAAGAAAAGAGGCCATAAATTTGAAAGAGAGAAGGCTGTCTTAATTAGGGTTTTATTGCTGTGAAGAGACACCATGACCATGGCAACTCTTTTTTTTTTTTTGTTTTTCCAGACAAGGTTTCTCTGTGTAGCTTTGGAGTCTATCCTGGCACTCTCTCTGGAGACCAGGCTGGCCTTGAGCTCACAGAGATCCTCCTCCCTCTGCCTCCCGAGTGCTGGGATTAAAGGCGTGTGTCACCAACTCCCGGCCATGGCAACTCTTATAAAGGAAAACACTTAATTGGGACTGGCTTACAGTTCAGGGTTTATCCTATTATCATCATGGCAGGGAGTATAGAGGCATGCAGGTAGACATGGTCCTGGAGGAGAAGCTAAGAGTTCTACATTTGGATCAGTGGGCAGCAGGAAATGGATGCTATACTAGGGACTAGCTAAGCATCTGAGACCTCAAAGCCTGCCCCCACAGGGACACACTTCCTCCAACAAGGCCACACCTACTCCACTAAGGCCACACCTCCTAATAGCACCACTCCCTATCGGCCAAGCATTCAAACACATGATTCTATGGGGGCCATTCCTGTTCAAATCATTACAGAGGAGTATATGGGAGGATTTGGAAGAAGGAAAAGGAAGGGAGAAATGATGTAATTATATCATAATTTCAAAAAAGTCACAAACCCCACGCTCAGGCAATGAAGAAGATGGGAGTTATAAAGGTAAAAGGCCATGGCTGTTTACTAGGTCGCATGTATTTTCAGGGGAAAGGAAGATACTGTTAAAGATGAGGAACCAGAAAGAACATTTCTAACACAATAGGTTAGCAAGATGGGGCTGTGGGTCTCTGACTAGAGAGCTTAAGTTCCAGAGAGAACAGTTAAAGAGTGTCAGCTGAGGGAAAACATGGAGGATAGGTCACCTGCAAGGAACCAGAAGGCATGATGTGTTTCACAAGCATATTGGGAATGAGTCAAATGGAGGATTTGGAGCATAAGTTGTTTTAAGGAAGATTGTCTATTGGTCCTAGTTGGGAAAAGACTTAACCTACATCCCCAAATGATGGTAGATATAAACACTATAAACAAAATTGTTATTGGATAAGCTTCCATTTGTTGAATAAATATTATGTGATAAATACTATTTGAACTTCTTTTATTAAATCTCATAGCAACCTTGTAGGTTCAGTAGTGTCATTCCATTCTACAGATGGGAAGCCTGAGATTAAGGTTGACAAGCCAGAATCTAAATTTAACAGGAGTAGCTGTGATCAGTGGTAGAATGTTTGCCTGGTATGCCTAGCCTCAATCCCCAGCAAAGAAAAATAAAGATAAAATAAGAGTTGCCACTGGTAAATGAACAGTAATGTTCATGAATGTTCCATTTGGTCTAGATGTTTCCAAAAGAAATACCTGTCACTTGATGCTTAGAGAGTTTTCACCTAGACCCCTCTAACTGGCTTTAGTGTTAGTAAGTGATTCCTGTGGCTTTCTAAATTTCTAATATCATGCAAACTAGAAATATCTTGGCCCATATTATTCAAGCTCTAAATAAATATTCAATAAGGAAAGTTGGGTTGTACTTTTGGTCATCACAGTGGTACACCTTGACACTCTAAAACTGGATAAACTATATTAAACAATCAGATACTGGACTGCAAGCAATGAAAGATTGTGAGCACAAAGCATAGAAAATGCCAAGATTCACATTTTCCCGGGATCATTACCTGGAATGATTTCCACATGGTTGGGTGGGGAAGTGCAGCCCAACCAGAGAAGAGCACGGAGCTACTGAGATGGAAGAAGCCTGTGAGCAATCCTGCAGAAGCTGGAACTTGCACAAAGTAGTTTAAAGAAACAGAGAGGTCCAGAAGTCTTCATGCAGTAATCAAAAGGTTCCTGGTTAAAGGAACCTTTAACCCACTAATTAATAAATTAGTGGGTTAATTAATTAATACAAGGTGAGTTTCCAAAAAAGTCTAGCAAAGAGTAGCTACCTGGAGATGAGAGAGATCAAGCAGTGAAGAAGGGGATTTTCAGTCCAACAAGTGATGAGAGTCCTGTTGAGCATCCAGGAAATGAGACTCCAGAAATGCCATGTTTTAGAAACAAAGGACATCACAACAGGTAAAGATTGAATCCTAAGAATAAAATACGCAACAATAACAACATAAGTGTGTGCATGTATGTATTATATATAAAATGCTACAAGGGTAAAAATTTCCTAAAACTGTTATTAAATAAAAATCAGTAGATCCAAGAAGACAAGTGACACTCAAGTAAAATAGACTTCCAAAAAACAAGAGTCAAGCCTAGGCATAGAACTATCAAATTGCCCTCCAGGAAATATTTTAAGTAATAATAGGGGAGAAACCATATTAAGTGTGAGGGAACAAGAATACAAATGATGGCTGATTTTTCTTTACAAAGATTGAAAGAAGACCAGAGAATATCACTTTTAAATGCTTGATTCAGTTACATTTTTTAACAGGTATGAGTATACTCTCAAAAGGTGAAAATTGTATAAACATGTTTTCAGATTTTAAAATGTTAAAAAGATTTTGATGTGTGGTATGCATGTGTCCTTGTTTGTGTATGTATGCTCATGTGTGACCTTACATATAGAGACCAGAAGTCAATGTTGGGCATCTTTTCCATCATTCTCTATACTATTTGAGACAAGGTCTCTTGCTGAACCTCACTAGTTCAGGAAGATGAACTCAGGCCAGCAAACTCCAGGATCCTCCTGCCTCTACTTCTCCCGTGATGAGGTTATGAGTTTGTGTCACCATGCCCAGGTTTTTACGTGGATACTGGGGATTGAACTCGGCTCCTCAAGCTTGCAGGCACCATACTGACTAAACCATCTCTCAGATCCAAAAATATTTTATTGCAAACCAGAGATATACAAGTACTTAAAGAAGTTCTTTAGGATCAAGCAAATTATAGAGGAAGAAAAGTTATGTTGACCCAAAGGAGTAAGTGGAAATGCTCAGTGTTTGGGAAAGTATAAAGGATTGGCAATTCCTTTTTAAAATTTTTAACTTCAATGAAAGAAAACTGATATCTTCTTCCCTCCCTCTCTCTGGAACACTTAACCAAGCTGATCTTCAAGTTCATATGGAAGTTCAGAGAAACAAAAAAAGCCAAAACAACCCTCACACATCCAAATTGCAAAACCAGGTACAAAGCTATAATAATCAAGAGTGTAAGCTGGCAGGATGGTAACATCTGCCACTCCAGCACTGGGAGGATCGTGCATACCAGGTCAGTCTTGGTTGGATAGAAAGAGCCTGTCTCAGAGAGTTAAAAAGAAAAAAACGCAGAGACTGTACACAGTACTAAACACAAGTAGCATGCGTAGACAATTGGAACAGAACTAAAAGCCTAGAAATAAGCCCACATGTTAGCTCAGTTGATGTTTTGGCAAGAGTATCAAACAGCTTAAGTGTAAAAGAATGGACCCTTTAGTGTATATGAGACAATTAGGTGTTCACAACTAAAGGATGAGTTTAGATCAATACTCCACAGCACATTCAAAATTAACTCAAAATGAATCAAAGGGATAAATACTTATGGCTCAGATTAGGCAATGGTTTCTTGGATATGACACCAAAAGCCCAAACAACCAAAAAAAATAAAGATAAATTGGATTTCTAAATTAAAAGTGTGTGTGTTTTGGAGGACACCATCAAGAAAGTGAAAAGACAATCCACAGAATGGGAGAAAATATTTCCAAACTATATGGTTCATGAAAGATTTGTGTGTAGGACATGTAAAGAAGTCAACACACACACACACACACACACACACACACACACACACACACACACAAGTCAACCAGCAACCCAACCAAACAATGAGCAAAGAATTTGGACAGGCTCAAAAATAAAAAGAAAAGCAAAATACAAAAACAAAACCTGTACCACTGAGTACCTGAAGATAGTGAACATCACAGCTATTGGGACATAGAACCACAATGAGATACCACTTTGCAACCAACAGATTAAATATATTTTCATTTTTATTATTGCATGTGTATTTGTGCACCATGCATGTCTGGTGCAGGCAAGGCCAGAAGATGGCATCAGAGCTCTGGAACTAGAGTTACAGACAATTGTGAGTTGCTATGCAGGTGCTGGGAATTGAGCCTGGGTTCTCTGGGAACACAGTCAGTGCTCTTCATCTCTGAGCCATCTCTCCAGACCCTCCCTGGATATTTTTTCTTTAGTTTTTCAAATAGCATATAACTGAATTTTACTCTGAATTATCAAAATCCCAATCAAACCAGTGACATGATCTCTGTGAAAGCAGTGAACTGTTTCTATGCAGTTGTATGCAAATGTAAATCACATGTCTCTTACTGAAACAACGACATCAGCATAGTCCCTTACTTAGACTCTTACATTTAAATGATATGTAAGTAGTCAGTCTATTTCTAGGGTTGGAGAGATGGCTCAGTAGTTAAGAACACTGGTCGCTCTTCCAGAGGATCCAGGTTTGGTTCCCAGCACCCATATAGGGTTGCATACAACTGCTTATAACTCCAGTTCCTGGGGCCACACCCCCTTGTGGCCTCTGTGGTCACTGCACACACATGGGACAGAGATGCATATCTAGGCAAAATAGCAATACAACATAAAATAAACATAAATAAATATATTTCTGAAATCAGTGTTCCAATAAGAGGATGTCTTGCTGTGCTGGGACTCACAAGAACATCTTCAGACAGACAATGTTTGATGACTCCAGAGGGCTCCCAAGACTCTGTGAAGCTGGACTTGTAACTATGATTTATTTCAGCAAAATTATCAAAGAAAAGGGCAGGGGGAATCATGCCCAGGCTTCCAATAATCTTCCAATGTAGTCATTCAGAATGTACTTAATTCTTCTTGTTCAACAGGCTATGACACACGTGTGCTGTGCAGTCTACCACAGAAGCTCCTTGGAGACCCTGAGCAAAAGACATTTTATTGGAGGCACCCCCTGCCTGGCATGTCCCAAAATTCCCAGAAGGAAAACAAGTTTGGTACAAATCGCAGTTGCTTGTACAAACTTTATAGGCACAGCAAGCCACTCTTTCCAATTTCTTGGGATGCTGGGAACCTTCTAGAAATCACATTTCTCAGAGAGGCAGTCAGGGGTCTCCTTGCAAGGAGGCACTTCTAAGACATCAGCCTCATACCTGCTATCACTATTTTTCTGCAAACATATCTTTAATTGAGACACAAAATAAGAGCTGGTAAGATGGCTCAGTGGGTAAAGGTGCCTGGCACCAAGTCTAAGGACCTGAGTTCAATTCCTGGGATCTACATGTCAGAAGCAAGTTGTCTCTTAACTCCATGTGTGCACCATGGAAAACACCTGCACTTGCATGAGTGTGCACACACAGACACAAAAAATAATAAAAATTTTAATCTAAAAGATATAAATTAGTAGGTATAGGAACCATTCATACAAATGAGTTTATTTATCCATGCTCAAATAACATTAAACAGAGAAAAAACAAATTAATAATTTTACCCTATGCAAAAATGAGCTACCACCTGAAACATAATCACAAAGTAAAACATTACAGCTTCCTAGAATTGTACAATTAATATTTATTTCAAAGAATATGAGGCAAACCTAGAAAAATATCAAAGAAATTGAACTCCTTAAAACCCTAATATTATGAAAGCACTGGTAAGTTTTTGTATTCATATGGATAAATAATACATATCTACATAATTAATAATACATTTAATATGAACTCTTAATTTAATTACCCATGTTTTTCCTTGTCATTAATAACTGTAAACATGAAAAATATTGTTAAAAATTATAAAGTTTCTCCTCCCCATTCTGATGGATATAAAGGTTGTTTTGTGTCAGTTTCTCAAACCTTACAGACCCCCCAGGAGCCTCTAATTGCTCTAACAACAAAGTCAAAAAACCTCACATGATCCAGGCCTGGATCCATTGCTCAATTCATCTTCCACATGAAGTGACCATGACCTTCTTTGAACTCTCCAGCTGTGTCACTTTGTCCCACTTCATGATTTTCACCTGTGTAGACAGACCCTATATTATGTCTTATAATTACCAAGTTTTTATTGGTCCCTGTATTATAAAAACACAAAATTTTAAATATTCATAGTCCCAGATAGATAACAATTTCCCCAAACAGAGGCTATGGTTATCTACTCCATTCAAGGATACAGTCACAGTAGTCAGTGTTGTCTCTCCAATACAAACAAGGATTTAAAAATAAGCCCATAAATAACCTGCTTTTGTGTGAATTGTTCAATCACTTAGTGTATTTGATCCTTTTACCCATTGGATTCCCACATTTCTTAGGTTATCACTTAAATATCTTCTTTTCATAAAACTGATTTCATTGTATCTTCTAATAATTTCTTATGACTAATAAAAATCTCAACAACACATACTTTAATTTGGCACTCCTACTCACTTTACTAATTCTTTAACTTTTACATTTATTACTTGGAGTTTTTCTTTTAGCCAGGTCTCTATACACCAAGCTGGCCACCAACCCATAATCTCCCTGCCTCAACCTCCACTGTGCTGGGATTTAGGTCTTTGCCACCAGCTGTAGTTTTCTTATTGGCAAACTGCGAATACAACGCTGGTGTTCTTGTCATGTGTGACTTTGTTTCCATCGTAACGTTTAGTCATTGCATTCCAATGCTGAGTGACACATAATACAATTCTCTGAACTGATGCTATCTCCTATTTTTAGGATCTTCCCACACTCAGGAGACTTGCTTATATTAAACACTGATCTCTTGACTTTTTGTGTCTGCTATTTTATGGAGGTTTCCTTAAAAATCAAGGTACTCAGATGCATAGTTTTGCTTATCGTTAGATAATCCACTGGAGTAAAACTGGGCAAGCAGGAATGACCTTCCTTGCACCAGTGTGATTGTTAGTGCTGACAACAGAATTGAGAATCACCTTAGAGACAAATCCGTGGGCCTGTCCCTGAGGGATTTTCTAAATGAGATTAAGTGATGTGGGAAGGCCCAGGCTAACTACCAGACTGAATAAAAAGGAGCAACAAGCTGAGAGCTTGTTCATTCATCTCTCAGCTTCCTTATTATAGGTGTCATGTGACCAACTGCGGCCACCATGCCATTCTTGCCATGATGAACCCTCAAACTGTGAGCCAAAACACACCCTTCCCTCTTTAATTTGCTTTTGTCACTCACATACTTGATGCAGTTGGCTTGTGAAGGAAGTGATGGCCCTAGACTTCATTTAGGGCACAAAGACAAAGGCTTGCTAGCTGATGACAAGGTGTGAGTAGCATTCTAGATGCCTGGAGGATGCTGGGGAGGAGGAATCATTTGGGATTTAAAAGCTTGGGAACATACCTTTCTTAATATCTAAGACTTTCTTTCACCTGCTGAATTTGCTGTTGTCTGCTATTGTTAGTATGCTTTAGTTCATTATTACAGATGGATCTTAGTTGAGCTCTGGGGTGCTCTTTCACAGGAGTGTGAATGCATTTGGAATGAAACTCGGTGAGTCTGAAGAAGGCAGTTAAGAAATAACATATCAGCTAGGCAGTACCTTTAGACTCAGCACTTGGGAGGCAGAGGCAGGCACATCTTTGTGAGCTCAAAACCAGCCTGGTCTATAGAGAGAGATGGGGAGGGAGAGAGGGATAGAGGGAGGGAGGGAGGGAGGGAGGGAGAGAGGAAGGAAGGAAGGAAGGAAGGAAGGAAGGTAGGAAGGAAGGAAGGAAGGAAGGAAAGTATATCTTTAGTATCTTTAGACCTGAGGTAATAGGTAATGGCTCATCGGATAAGAGTACTGATTTTGCAAACATGGGGATCTGAATTCAAATCCCATTAGCTAAATACACACACACACACACACACACACACACACACACACACACACACACACACACACAGATCTGAGCAGGGCTGAATATGCTAGTGACATGGACAGGAAGATCTCAAGAGATCGGGCCTCAACATACAAAAGCATGTTTATACACCACACACACTTATAAACCAACCACATTTTAACCAAAGGTCAGAGATACAGGCTTGAGAAAGACTGCCAGTCCAGGCACACAGCAAACAAAAAGTCCACAAGCCCTAGTCTGGGGAACGAACATAAGAGTCTTCTAGAGGGAGTCCCTGAGACCTGGGTGGGGTGCCGGGAAAAGGATCCCAGTAAAAGTCTCATCAGTCTATAGTCAGACATAATGATGGCTCAGATCCTCTCCTTCATACTCAAGGGGAACCTCTGCCTGTGACAACTGTCAAGGTCAACCACCTCTGGGTTACAAACCAATAAATCCACCTAACAATAGTCAGTTAGACAGTGTCTGCTTTACCAGATGTCACGACTTCCTGCCACAAGGTCATGTGACTACTACTCTATGGCTCTATTGCAAAATGTGTGATATTAATAACTTTGCTTTAAAATCTACTGAACGTAGGTGCAGTAATGTGGTGTCTTAAGACCTGACAGTAGGTGTAAAGAGCCACAAAATATTTGTGTAATTAAGCCTTGAAATTCTTCATGATAAGAACCTTTTTAAACGATCAGGAAGGTTCAGCATGTGAAGGAATTTGCCACCAAGCCCGATGACCTGACTTCATTCCCATGGCCCACATGGGAAACCCAGAGATGTGACACTGCCAAGCTGTCCTCTAATCAACACACATGGGATATGACACACATGTGATCCCAACATATACACAAAATAAATACATGTGATTTAAAAAATCAGAAGTATGCAAAAAGGTATCAAAAGGGTTTGTTGTTGTTTGTTTGTTTTTCCTGAGACAGGATTTCTTTGTGTAGCTAAGGCTGTCCTGGAGCTCTTTCTGTAGACCAGACCAGAGACCCTTCCAAATGCTGGGATTAAATTTACATCAATAAAAAAAAATGCCATCAAAATCTGGAATGAAAACCAAAATGCATTCATTAACTCAAAGCCAGGAAACACTAATTAGTAGTGGCAAGGAGGAAAAGGCGCACTCATTGAACTATTGATGTATTTTAAAGGTTCTGAAATTTCACCTCATACTGGAGCAATGAATAAGAGCAATAGGAGCATAAAACAGCAAACAATATTTTAAGCAATTGAGAGATTCAACTGCTTAAGACACTGTACTGCAAAAGAACCCCTGTGTATTCTCCACAAAATGGACTCCTGTAGTGTGGAGCTCCTGGCACAATGACAAGCATCTGAACAGGGCACAGAAATGGGATATTCTACCATATCTGTTCCTTGTTTTCTCTTTTTACATATGTTGAGCCTAGACGTGATTTTTCCACAATAAGCAGTAATAGATCTTAGTAACCATCACTTATCTTCATACTTGCACATAAGCACCGACATGAAAACATATGAGCGAAAAATTGTTTATCACCATTATTTACACTAACAAAAATGAAATCAACCTAAAATGTTCACGAATGGGAAAATAAAGACTCATTCTACTCTGTCACCTTTAGGGCAACAATGACTTCAAAAGTTCAACCTACCAGCAAATTTTACAACTGGAAGATAGAAAAAAAAGCAACATGAATTACACTGGTGTAATGAACATGTGGCATATTTATGAAGATATAATAAGAGCCATTGTCACAAAATGTTTCTAGTAATTATCATGGTCACAGAGGTTTTTTTCTTCTCTATTATTCTTTTGTTTTATTTGACTTTGTTGATGTTGCTGTAGAGATTTTTTGTTGTTGTTTTAGTTTCTTAAAACTTTTTCCAAGCCGGGCGTTGGTGGCGCATGCCTTTAATCCCAGCACTTGGGAGGCAGAGGCAGGCAGATCTCTGTGAGTTTGAGGCCATCCTGGTCTCCAGAGTGAATGCCAGGATAAGCTCCAAAGCTACAGAGAAACTCTGTGATGTTAATGATGAAACAGGGTCTCACTGTGTAGCCTGGGCTGGCCTCCAACTTAAGACATCATGCCTCTCCTGAGTGTTGGTATTACAGGCATGCAAAAACTTATTTGGTTTGTTTCTCTTTCTTTTGAGACAGAGTCTTGCTGTTTTGTTTAGTTGGACCCAAACTCATGTACTGGAGAGATTTATTCACATCAGCTTCCAAGTATCTGGAACTACAGGTATGCACCACCATTGCCTGATTATGAAGTAACATGTAAGAAAAATTACATGTGAAAATATGTATATATATATATGTATGTATATATATGAAGCCTCTTGTTTGTATCCATAATTTGAGGGTCTATAACCCCAAATCCTCAAGGCAAAGGGCTATTAGCATCCATTAGATCTCCATTTGCAGAATTCTCCTGACTTAGAAGCCATCTTGACACAGCCATGTTAAAGGTTTCTAGAAGCCATAACTAAAAAGGTATTTAGTGGTATAAGTGAATGCTAAGCTTCTAGAAGAAAAAGAGTGATACTCTAATGTGGAACAGCAACAGATACGTTTATTTTCAAAGGGTAAGGACTACCCTTTGAGAGAACTAAGTAATCTGCCTGTCCCTAAGCAGGAAAATCTAAAGGACAAAATTTTGTTTAGTGGCCAAGCCACCCTTGTCTATGGAAGAGGGAGGTAGACAGAAAGCACCAAGTTCTGGGGTTTCACTGACTCATGCTAATCACAGACCTTCACAAAGACTTTGGGAAGCTTTCGAGGGCGTGGTCAGGCACACCTGTAGCCAGCCCCTAAGTAGGCGTGGCTACAGCTTCCCCTACAATGGGAGGGTACCTCCATCCTCCAACCTCCTGTCTGAATTGAAAGTCTTGCCCTCTCTCTGCCTCATTTCCAATTTTCTCAGCCAAGTACCTGGTAGCAAATGAGCAAGTTAAAAGCCAATATGTATCAATGCCCTACATTTATCCACCGAAGACATCTGGGGACCATTATAAGCTAATAACTTGATAGTATGTTTGCTATTATCATGTACTGCAAATAGATTTGATTAGGGACATATACAGCAGCTACTCGAGAGACTAGCGGGAAGCCTGGGAGGCTGGGGAGATGGTTCGGTGGATAATGCACATGCCTTGAAAGCATAAGGAGCACAGTGCTAGATCCCTAGCACCACATAAAAACTAGGCAGACCTGACAGCCTCCCTGTAATGCCAGCCTCTAGGAGGCTGAGACAGGCAAGCTGGCTACTGAGACTGACTGACTCTGTGAGCTTCAAGTTCAGAGAAAGAGACCTTGCCTCAGTAAATAAAGTAAAAAGTGACAGGGAAGATGAGCATTGCCAATTTCTAGCTTCCACAAACATATTCAGACATGTGCACATATACCCATATATATGTGCATGCACACATGGGCACCCATAAACATACAAACATATGTCACACAGACAAACACACAAAAGAGAAAGAGATTAAGTTCTGCATCAGGATGACTATGCACAGTCCATTGTCACTGTCTTAGGATATGAAGCTCCTCAGAACATTTCTTGGAAGCCAATTCCTCCCAGCCCTCTAATGGAACAAACAATTGTCCACAACTCCAGAGCCCTCTCTAATGATAGTGCTAAGCACAGCTGTGCCCAATTAGATGCACCCCCAGTCATGTCTCAGTGACTCCGGGCCTACAAACCTATCCTACTGT